CGAATACATTATTAGATCCAACAACATGGCGTCACGGATATATAGGTTACTCACACAGCTTGCCGCCTGTCTCGTAGTGGCATGTGTGTGCGTATTTGCCGCAGAGTTGAGGTTAGATATAAATGAACCTCAAATGGGATTAAATACTGATACACACAAAGAATACAACAAAGACACAATACACCGCAATGTACATAACTTAGGCACAGTGAACACTGACTCAGAACAAATGCACGCACAGCTACACCGGGGGTCTCGAGATACCCTCATCGAAAGGGTAGACGACAGAGATAGTGATCGTGAAAATGCCATCAAGAACAAGGAAGCAGAGTTGACAGGGTCAGGCCTGAATGCACATGCCGATTTGAGGGGGAGAGATGGCGAGGGAGTTATAGAACAAAATATACACTCAAGGCATAATCATGGAACCGATGAGAAGAAGATTGTTCAAGAGGAGTTGGATGTATTAGACAATGATGGCGGGTTTGTACGTGGGCGTAGAGATCAAGATGTAGATACTGGAGACGGTACAAAGAAGAGGAATAGGGACGTGAAGGACGACAACGGTGTGGACCATATACTTGTAGAACATAGTAAGAAGCATGTATCTATGGATGGGAAGCAAATAGGTGACAAGGATATACCGGTAGGTGGTGCTGATGCGCATAAGAAGGTAGAGGGTGGTATTGCAGACGCTTTACTTGCGGCCAAGGCACAGGCATTGGGCGAGAAAGCTGTGCGTGTGGAAAATGAGTTGGAAGTAGATGGGCATGTGAATGTACTGTTTGCCGATTCGGGTGCAAATCGCAATCAGGATGAAGTGGTTGAGGGGAATGGGAAGGAAGGGATCGAAAGAGATTTAGCAATCGAAGGGGACGTTATGGATGGCGATGTGGTTGTTGAGGGGTTGGGATCCAAGTACAATGGATTGGCCAACAAAGTGCATGCTGATAGTGGCAATACTGAGAAAGGGGGTGTTATAGAAGATGATAAGGGTGGTAAAGCTCATGCCGATGGTCTAGGTCAGGATGTTAACGGACCGAAAGTATTGGCGGAACAGTTGGCCTTGGAAAAGGCAGCACAAAGGGAAGAGAAGAAGAACGCTGACAACATAAAAGCAAAGGTAAACAAACAAAGCAAGAATATGCACGTAGACATGTACAACAACGCGGATGCCGCAGATGAGGACTATGATGAGAGTGATGGCGACTCACACTACAACGACGACAACAACAGCGAGACAGCCGACGAAGATGAAGACGAAGAGGAATCTCAAGGGGAAGGCCAGGAGAGGTATCTGGAGCCCATCTTACCCGAACACCATGCACTGGTGGGGTTGGGTAAGCACGGGTATACATCTGTGGACGACTACGGCGCAGTGGCCGATGGGGTGACCTTGAATACCGACGCGATTAACCTGGCCATAGGCGCAGTTAACGCCATGGGTGGGGGTACGGTGGTGTTTCCCGGTCCCGGTGTGTATCTCACGTCGACTATATTTATGATGAGTGATATCCGGGTGTTGATTGAGAATGGAACTACGGTGATGTCAACGACAGAGCCGAGTCTGTGGCCCACGATACGCCATCGGTTTGGCGTGCTGATGTGTGGGGGCCAGATGGGACGATACTACCAGCGCAAATTTGTGGGGGGTCCGCTGTTCTTCTGCCACTTGTGTAATAATATTACTATGGCGGGGAAGGGGGGGGTGGTAGATGGCCAGGGTGGACATTGGTGGGACAGGAAGCAAGGAAAGGGCTTGTACAGAGGGTACTTGGCGATGTTTATTAATAGCACAAACATACACATCACAGACCTGACTTTCCAGAACTCGGCGGCCTGGAACATCGTGCCCAAGTACTGCACGAATGTGACTATTGATAGAGTGAGTATATACAACCACTATGTCAAGGGACACAACACCGATGGTGTAAACCCGTACTCGAGCAAGAACGTCAACATCACCAACACCGTGATTGTTACCGGAGACGACTGCATCGCGGTCAAATCAGGCCCGAGACCCTCCTGTGGCATTCCTTCGGAGAACATACTGGTCAACAATGTCACGTGTGTGGGGTCGCACGGGCTGACTATTGGGTCGGAGATGAATGCGGGGGTGCAGAATGTGGTGTTCTCCAACGTGACGATTGATGGCAGGAACACGCCCAGTTCTCAGGGCATCCGCCTCAAGTCGGTGCGGGGCCGGGGCGGGTTTGTGCGGAATATACTGTACGAGAACATCCGTATACACAACGTCAAGATCGGCATTCAGGTTACTTTGAACTACCGCGATGTGGACCCGTCTGTGATGCCAGTACCGCACTTCAGCAACATTACCGTGCGCAATGTATACGGCACCAAGATCCACCGCGAGATAGGCACCTTTGACGGCCTTCCAGATGCGCCAATAGACGGGGTGTCCCTCGAGAATGTGTTCTTGTTCGCGTCGGCGAATGCCAAGGGACTACAGTGTAGCCAGACGATTAATGCAAAGTTCAATAGGGCGTTCCCTCCACCCGATATGACGGGTAGTTGTGTGCAGGATAGGTGGGGGGTGCTGCTGGAAGCGCTCGGGTGGAGCTATGGCTTGTTCTCATGGCCACGGTGGCTATCGACGAGGATGTTCTTCTGGCTACTTTAAAACTTCGATACATATATATCTAAGGGTACAGCTTTGACGAGTATAACCTTGTATCTATTGTACGTGTACAAATAA